AGCTTCCTCACGCACAGGCCTTGGCTCTCTGGGCCCATAACGCTGAAGGACTCTGCAGAGGGTGCTGCCTGTGGAGACGGCTCTCGCCACTGCCGTTGGTCTCAGTGAGACGGACTCCATCGTCTGACAGCCTGAGACGCTTGGGCCCCTTGTCTCCCCCCCAGCCAAAGCTTCAGTCTCAGTGTGTTGGGCCAGATTCCACGTGTTCCTGTTCTTTCTGCTCGTGCTGTGACTGGCACGCCTCCCCCGGGGCCACGCACAGTCCTCCTCTAGCCCTGGCTCCAGAGACCGGTGAAGGACCCTAGCCTGACTTTTACACTCTTTATCCTGAATGTGAAGAACAGCTGGGGTCAAGCTGGCACCACTGAGGCAACAGAATGAATAAGGAGAGTATTAGATTATAACGCATGGAAAACAGAAATATGTGTGAGTCTATACCGATAGAAAGTAATAATTGTATAGATAAATACTACATGGGAGTGAAGGGGAAGTTCTTCTTTGCAGCTCCCAGCTGATCCCCTGGAAGGAATGCAGGAGACACAAAGATCACCACTCGGCAAGTGCCACAGAAACAGTTGTTTCAGTTAAAGTCCTGTGATGGGTGCAGTAATCGGTGCGTGAAAGTCGGGAGAGAAAGAGGAGATACTTTGTACAGCCTCGGGGTGTCTCCCCCGAGGTATTTACTAACGATAAAGGGGGAAAGTGTAGCTGTACAGTGGAGACCCCCAGCAGACATCGACGTAACCGAGTGACCGTGAGGCAGGAGACAGCGTAGGAAGAACTCTGAGACTGCGATCCTGTTACTGGCCAGAATGTAGCACCCTGGTTGCTAGGAAACGTCTTTGACCAATTAGGTAGAATAAATAGTAAACCGGGGCAGGGAGGAGGAAGGAGACAAGTCTCACACATTAACTCAGCAGTCCTCAGCCTGGTCTGATAATACTGCCAGGTGTTCTAACATCGAAAGAAACACTACGTTAGCAAGAAAGAAGGAAAGTCCTTGAAATTCTATGTAGCATTTCCACTATCTGGGAAAGAAAGCCTTGAAACTGTGCTCTTATCCCACGGTCTGAATGTGGGAGAGGGTTCCCAGTGCCCAGAGAAAGAGCCCATAAAACAACTTTGGTTAATTGCCTACCTCTGGTCACCATCTGTTTTATGAGGGAGTCCCTGGTGCTTACGGAAAGAGCCTATAAGTGACTTTGGGAAGTGCTCCAATTTTAATTAACTGCCTCCTGTCATGTATTTGTTTTACAACAAGATGAGCAAATGGGGTCTGGAGCAAGATAAGGATTCAGGCTAAGAGACTCCCCACACCTACCTAAGTTTGGGTAGTCACATTCCCCCGGGGAAAGCTGGCACCGCATTTACCCGTTAATCAATGTGTGACTTTTTTCTCCTATCCCACCAACTATATGAGTCCCGAGAACAAAGGACTCTCCCCCCCCCTCTCTCTCTCTCTCTCTCTCTCTCTCTCTCGGGGTGTCGGGGTGCTCTTGGCTCTCGGGCCATTGGGCCTCATGCCTCCTGGCCTCAGGCTGCCCCGGGGCTGGCCGCCCTGGTCTTCAGCCGCTCTTGCTTTTGTCGCCCTGTTTTGCTCTGAAACTTTGCCTTTCACCCCCTACTCTCCCCAGTCCCGTTCTCTTCCATGGGAACATAGCAGGTAATAAACTGATTACCTGCTGCTAGATTTGCTGCTCTGTAATTCTGTACAGGCATCAGCAAGGAGAACCAGGTCTCTCCCGTCGACAAGCAGACTTAGCATCAGCAGAAATAAATCACCTTGAGATCACGTGACCGCTGCTGTGAGTCCTGAGGACACACCCCTTCTATGGTATTCTTACCAAAACACTCAGAAACTCAATCTTATCAAGAGACCGACTGCACAAATCCACACTGAGGGACACTCCTCAGAGTAACTGTTGGGGTCATAGAAAGTGTCAAGGCCACGAAACATGAGGAAAGACAGAGGAACTGCCCCAGACTGGAGACGAAAGAGCCTTTCAACCCAACACGGTGCAAAACCCTGGACTGGATCCTAATACAGAAAGAGAACATTCGTCCTCTTTTTTTTTTTTAGTCCAGTTTTCAGGGAAAACTGCTGAACTTCAAACAAGATATAAAATTTAGTTAATAATACTGTAACCCACGTTAATTTCTTGGTTTGAATAAATGAATTATGGTTATTAAATTGTGAACATTACAGGAACCTGAGTGGAGGGTCCATGTGAATTCTCTGCTATTTCTACTAGATCAAAGATCACTTCACAATAAAGTTTAGAGGACGTGATTCTTATTTACTGCACAGGACGAGTAAATCGAACTTTTCGCACAGCCCCGTGGAAGGAAATCACCACGAAGACACAGAGGCAGGCGCATCCGCTCAGCCGCTGGGCCACCGCTCACCTACCCACGCAGCTGTTGATGGACACTTGGGTTACGCCCACTTGTTGGCTATTCTGAATAATGGTGTAAAGGCCATGGGTGTACAAATATCTCTCCAAGTCCCTGCTGTCAATTCTTTTTGCGTGGATACCAAGAAGTGGGGTTGCTGGATCATAGGGTAACCCCGTTTTTAATTTTTGAGGAACCGCATCTGCGTCCCACAGTGCCTGCGCCGGTCTGCCTTCCGCCAGCAGTGCTCAAGGACTCCGGTTCCTCCACATGCTGCCAACGCTTATTTTCTGTTTTGTTTTTTGTTTTAATAACAGCGAGCCATCCTAATGGGTGTGAGGTGATATCTCATCAGGGTTTCGATTTGCCTTTGTAGTCCCCTAACAATCAGTGGTGTTGAGCACCTTTTTTTTTTCACACACCTGCATCTGCTCGTACAGGTGAGGAAAGGGAGGCTTGGAGCTGAGATGTGACAGACTGCAGTCAGCCGGGCACTTAGCGCTGGAGTCAGAACGGATGCCGCAGGGCTCCTCCTGTGCCACCAACTCCCTGGGGAGAGTCACCTTGGGGCCTCTCCCACCTGCCTCCCAACCACTGTCTGCCTTTTATTTGACTCCCACCACTCGAAAAGGAAGCAAGGAAGGAAAAGGCTGGTGAGAAAAAAACAAACCCTGCTGTGTGTGTGTGTGTGTGTGTGTGTGTGTGTGTGTGTGTGTGTGTGTGGTGAAGCGCATCCCCACAGCAGGGCACAATAGGGTGGCTGTGGACCTGTACTGGCGGCTGCCCGCCCAGACACCTGAGGCGGACAAAACCAGCAAGGAAGGGCAAAGGGACTGACCGACGCAGCTGTCAGGGAGGGCTGCGGCCAGGGGGGCCAGCTCCAGCTTAGCAGCTGATGACACTTCCAGAAACTGAGGTGGGATGAGCTGGCCCCCAGCCGTAGGTGGCCCTCGGCCAGGCTGTGGGCGGGGGGTGGGCCAGCACCAGGAGGCCCTCCTCAGGGATCAAATCCGGAGAAGCAAGGCCAGCTCAGGGCCCAAGCGAGGCATGGCACCGAGGCCCGTGGGAGCCTGAGGTTGTCCCCAGGCTGAGCCCAGTTTGCACAGGTCCCGTAGATTCCACAGCCACCGCTCCTGGCTGGCCACCGGTCTCTTCCAAGGCCATTCCCCTGGCTTCCTCACTAATCTTCTCGTTTTTCATAATAGCTACAGTGAGCTCTTCCTAAAAACACAAACCTGGACATGTTACCCCTTGTGTAGAACCCTTTCTATTCTCAGAATAAAGTCCACTTCGCCACATTCCTACAAGACCCACTGTGACCTGGCCTCTGCAGGCATTTCTGGCTTCACCTGTCATCCTCTGACCTCCAGCCACCCTGGTCTAAGGAATTCCGCTCCCGGAATCTGTCATGGTCATTGCCTGGATAAGCCCTGCTTATATTTCCAGACTCCGCTCAAATTTTATCCGCTCCCTCCCACTTTTTGGAGTATTTCTTCACCCTGTTATCCCCACAGAGAGGGTAATATATCTGCCCCAGGCCACACAGCAAGCCAGTCAGGATTTGAATTCAGGCTCCAGAACCCTGTTACTAACCAAGGCTGGTGTTAGCCCTCTCTGGAACATGGCCGGTGTCCCCCCTGGGCATCTAAGCTTTGAGATGCCTAAGCCCGGTGCTCAGGACAAAGCCAGCCACATGTCTGCGGACTGCCACATCGTGCTGAGCTAAGGGGACAAGCAGAGGCCACCCTCACAATTTTCTTGGGAGGAACGTAGAGCAGAGGAGGGGCCAGAAGCTGGAGAATCCTTCCTGCAGGACCGGTGGCAGGAAACCAGTCTGTGAGGATGCCCTCCTCAGAAGGAAGTGTGCCCCTCACCCGGCATCTCCCAGCTCTTACCAGATGCAAGGCAGGAAATGAAGGGGGTGAAGTATGTGTGTATCTGGACTTCTGGAACTTGGAAAACCTGCCACCAAACCATTTAGGATGCCAAGGAGCTAACGGCATAAGCTGGAGCCTCTGTCCACACCGGGCCCTGTGCTCAGGGTTGTCCGTGTGCCTGTCTTTTCACCTGTGCCTCAGGACCACGGTGACTCCCCTCCGGCTCCCTGTACTTGGCTGGCACCAGCAGGACTTTTGCTCCTTTCCAGAGAAACTGGAGACTCCAGACAGGACCCCAAGCCAAACCGCAGGCCTATGGCAGGGCACTAGGTCCCTGATGCGTCCAGAAGCCTGTAGCCAGGAACGGGCAGACCTTCCCCTCTGTGCCTGCACTTGGTCTCAGCAGCGCCCCCTACACCCCTCCTCCTGCTTATGGCAGAGCTCCACTCAGCCTGCACGTCTGGAAAGCCTGCGGCTGGGCCTCCCTGGGACAGCATCTTGAGAACAACTGCATCTGCTGTGAAACTCTGAAAGGAAAAGACGGTTGGCGATAATACTCCCTTCTCCATCCTCTCCATGCTGGACAGAGAGGTCAAGAATGAGCTTAATGTGAACCCTGTCCCTTGGGCTGCACAGATGTGTTAGAAGCATAACCCAGGGGCGGGCCAGCCAGAGTGGGGGGAGTCCCCTGGGGGACTGACACAGACCGAGGACTGCTCACACACCCACCTCGGTCACGATGGTGGACAGGAAGACGTCCTGGCTGAACTCCCAGCCATTCAGGCAGCTCTCCTGCTCCAGCTGTTCCAGGTCCACATCGAGCACGGGTTCCAGCCCAGTGCCGAGAAGTTGGCGATCCCCGCGAGCCGGTAGCGCCGGCAGCTGTGAGGCACCTGCGGCCGTCCTGCAGCCTCAGCGGGACACTGTGGTTGCGCCAGGCGCTGCTCAGGTTCGCGCTGTCCGGCACCCGGCAGCGGTGCTACGGGTCCCCGCCAGGAACATGATTGACATGCCATTGAAGCCGTTGGGGATGATGCTGGCGCTGAGCAGAAAGAAGGTGAGGCTCTGGAACGGCCCCCACTCGCCCACGAAGGCAATCACCTCGTCGTAGTCCCTAATGCTTTCCGCCGCCCCCCCCACAGCTTGCAACAGGGGGCGACGATAAGAGCGTTCCCCGCGCCGTGGCGCAGCGTTACCCGAGCGCGTCAGAGCGCCCCCTCTGGAGGAGGCCTGTTGTGGAAACCGGGACGCGCCACGGGGGTCGGTTCCTGGGAAACGTGCTGCGGGCTTGCGACCGTTTGCGGGATCTGGACGCAAAGCTGGAAGCCACCACAGAAACTTGGGACCACACCCCCATCGCCGCTGCGGCTGGGGAGGGGAGGGCGGTGATGCTGGGGTGGGATTCTCGGGCCGGTCCCCCCTCGAGTCCCGGCTCCTCGCTGCCCAGGTCCCCGCTGGGGACTCTGCAGGGGCTTGGAGCACAGCAAGGCCACCTGCGTGTGGGGGAGGAAGCTCGGCTCCAGAGCCCTCAGCGTCGCCCGCGATCCCGAAGAGCTGAGCGGCCCCACCCAAGCCTCGGAGCCAGGCCTCACCGGGTAGAGTGGGCGAAAGGGAGGGGCCGGGGCTGGAGAGCAAAGTCTTTGAGAGGTCGTCTCGCCGCCCCCTCCTCAGCCTCCGCCCCTGGCCCCGGTCACGGGTCTCTCTGCAGTCCCTTCCTATCAGGAGTCGGAGGTCAGCTGGCCTCCGGCGGGCTGGGCGTGGACGTGAGTCGATGGAACCGGTGCTCCGCGGAAACCTGTGCGAGGGTAGCGCTGCGGAGACAGCGCGCCCTCTCCTCTGGCTCGCGCGCGGCGCTCGTGTCCCGCGTCAGCTGACAGGGCGCCCACTCCCCAGCAGTGCTAGCTGGGTTTGGTCACCAGCCGGCAGCACCAGGGAAGAGCCTACGGGAGCCCGGAGCCTCACCTTGAAAAAGGGGAAACAGGCCCAGAGCTCGGAAGAGATGGTCAAGGTCACACTGCGTCAGAGAGTGGCAGGGACGAAGGGAGGTCGGGGGCAAGGGTCATCCCAAGGTCTCCAGAGAATTCAGCGCGGGGGGGGGGGGGGGGGGGGGGGGGGGGGGCTGGCCCACTGTGAGAGCACTTGATGGAGACGCTGCTGTCACTATTCCTGGATTCTGCTTCTGATCCCTTCGCTTTCTCCACGTCCCCAGGGCTCTTTATGGGGCAGCTGCCAGAGCCTTCTGGGACTGGAAGGCCTCCCGCAGGCAGAATGGACGGCCCCCAGTCCAGGAACTGGGAAGGGGGGAGCAAGGAGCAGATCCAGTCTGGTACCCAGATCGCACGGGGTAACCAGAGCAGGGACCGTGGCTGCTCAGAGCCCAGGCTGAAGACCCCTCTGCTGTTGTGTGAGCCAGCCTGCCTGAGGCTGCCCACGGGGTCCTGAGGCCCACGGACTTGATGGGCGGGAGGGCGCACCTGTTTGGAGATTTTGTACAAGTGTGTTTGCTTTTCCAGGCCCTGGTTAGGAGGATGAGGGACATTTCTGCCTCATTTTTTGTAGTCTCCTCTTAGCCTGGCATCTCACTCTCTTGGCACCTCAGTGTAATTGTCTGTATTATTGCAGACAACTCATTGTCAGGCCATGTGTCCTGATGTGCTGGGACAGCTCTGACTGATGCCCAGTAATCCAGTGCAACTATTAATAGCACTTCGCTTTACTTTTAAAACCATCCTTCATATATATAGCATGTATGTATACATATATATATTATATCCTCAAATAACATTTCATTCAATGCCACTTTGTTATAATGTTGATGAGGGGAAAAAAGTTAATTGCTGGCCCAGGCCGCTGTCTGTGACATGTTTTCACGTCTGCCCAGGTCTGCGTGAGTTTTCTCCAGGTCCCCTGGCTTCCTCCCACATCCCGAAGATGGGTGTGTAAGGTGAATACACGTGTCTCAGTCACCTCAGTCTGAGTGTGTGTGTCCACCCTGTTACGGAAGAGTGTCCGTCCAGGGTGAGTTCTGGCCTCACATCCTGAGCTTCTGGAACAGTCTCTGGCCACCATGACCCTGACCTGGAAGAAGTGGGTTGGAAAATAATGCTTACTTATTTTCACTAATTTTTCTTAGGCATATGTATAGCTCACATTTACTTCCATGTTTACTATTAGAAGTGTTTGGGTCTTTATTTAGAAGTTTGGTGTTGTTTTTTGTGGCCGGAGATCTGTTGTGGAAAGTTAACTCTTGTTTATAGCAATTAGCCTATGGTAAGGCTGGTTTCTTTACATGTGGTTTTCCTTCAAGTCAAAGTTTCCAAGAACCTATCAATGACATTAAGTGAGTACTCACCGTCATGTGGTCACTACCATACTTAGCTACTTAGCTTGGATTTCATCCCTTCTCTCTCCCCCCACTAAAAAGCAAAGCCTGACATAAGAGCTTATGTGGAGGTAGTTGATTCTGAGTAGTAACCCTAGGGAAAGGGCCAAGGGCCTGGGAGAGCCAAGAGGGAAGGAGCCAACAAATGCCATGCCGTGAGCTGGCCACTGGCCACAGGCCACAGGCAGGGTCAGTACTGGGCTGAGACGTAGCAGAGTTGGAGGCCAATGGAAAAAATGAGCAATACTGACCCTACCTTTCCTTAAAATGTTTATACTTTGTTCATATGAATTTTTATATTGATTTTGATTTTTACAAAGACATGAAAATATTATTAACCTCGATGATTGAATTTCTCGGTGCCCCCTACAGTTTTGCACTGGAGGTGAGTGCCCCATTCATTTCGCCTGCCTTAGCCGTGTCCCAGTCCTCGCTGCTGTGGGTGACCGGCATTCGATCCCACTGGGCCCTTACGAGAGCTGTAGAGAATGAGGAGGTATTGCCTCCTAGTTCTGGCTCCATCAGTCAACTTCCCTGCACTTCCAGGTTGAACACGTGTGCGAGCTAAGCAGCATCCTCCAAATAAACTCTTTGCCATCCATTGCCCATGAGTATATGTAAATCCATGCCTCAGACCATTTTCGCCCTCCACACAACATGAGTGCCCAAGGGCACCCCTTGCAGCTGGGCCCACGGGGAGAATTTCCCTTCACCATTGTCCTTTAGGGCTGCCCCTAAGCAGGGCTGTGCCACAGTAACAATCCATTTTGGGGCTATTATCAAAACAACCTGTCTGTGAGTCAGGCCTGAGTATTTTTCCTGCACCAGCTGGTGACAGAGAGCCATCCCACCCGACTGCGGCTTTGAGTTAAGGGACAAGAGTTGGCACGGCTAACGTGCGTGGCAGAGGAGTCTGAGTGTCCTGTTCGTTGACGTCCATGAGCCTGGTGCGCCTGCTCGGTCCTGATCCTGCCTCTGTCGTTTCTGTTATAAGGTGGATTGCTGATGTGCCTGTTTAATCTTATGACCGGATGGAATCTGACAACACCCACCCCATAGTGGACAGCTCTGGTTTCACAGACCCGTGATGTTCCCTTGCTGTAGCTGCTTTTTGGAAAAGGCAAAAAGCTTTCTGCTGCCGAAGGCATGACCTTGCTCTGGAATCCTGGAGATCTACGTTGAAACTCTTAAGATTTATCAGAGACGCTACCCAGCATCCACAGACACCTCTAGCACCACCCACCCTTCTGCTGGGTCATACGGACCAAATGGCAGGGAAGCTTGTATTATATATACGTGGACTCACTGTAGATAGAGCTCTGTTGCTCTGGGCCTCACTGGCACCCAATAGGTGGGTCAGAGTAATGTTCCCACCTAAGCGTTACATCCCTCCATCATTGGTGGAGAAGACAGGGTATGACAACTAGTCTTTACATTACGGGGGATGACCTGGCAGGCTCCACACTACTGGACCCCTAGAAATGTAACCAACTTGCTTCAAAATAATGTGAGATGGAAGAAATGAGTGAGGATATAGATCAAATAAGATTGGCCATGATGGTGGTTTTGGGTCAGGGGTGTCAAACTCATTTTTCCCGGCGGCCACATCAGCCTTGCGGTTGCCTTCGAAGGGCTGAATGTAATTTTAGGACTGTATAAGTGTAATTTAGCTGGGTAGAAACAAGATGCTGGGCTGGATAAAACAAGGTGGAGGGCTGGATTCAGCCCATGGGCCTTGTGTTTGCACCTGTGTTCTATGGGTTCATTTTATTAGTCTGGCTACTTTTACACACATTTAAGTCATTGCAGAACAAAAAGGTAAGAAAAAAGTTCACTCGTAGATTCAGGCCTGAGTCTTTGCACTTTTTATCTCCTACCTTCTTGCATATGGGTCCCTTACTAGGCCATCTGGAGGACTCAGTCAAACTAGCATTATGCCCTCCATACAGCGAACCATCACGTTGTTCTATGGCACAGGTGCAACACAAGGTCCGCGGGCTGAACCCAGCCCTCCACCTGGTTTTAACCAGCCCAGCACCTTGTTTCTGCCCAGTGGCAGCACCAAGTTAAGGAGTAGTGACATCTATACAGTCCTAAAATTACATGTGGCCCTCTGAAGGCAACCTCAAGGCTGATGTGGCCCCTGGTGAAAATGAGTTTGACACCCCTGTTCTATGCAATAGCAAGATAATCAAAGTCACTAAATACTACGTTGCAAAAGAGAGCGGGAGAATTCACGTGGCCCCGAGACAAGAAAGTACATACTACTCTTCATCCCACATTGAACCGTGCAGCTGTCGATGTTGGTGCTACTCTCCCAGGATGTGGTTTTACTGCTGAGTGAAGAAATTGGTAAAAAATGTGAGGGGTTACAGCTTCCATTTGGCCTTTCCTACCATAAAGGCTCTTATTTAATGGGACAGGGGTAAATGTTAGGGTCTCGCCAGCTTGAAGTGCTTGGAGCCCAGTTAAGCACTTAGGGACCAGGAACTGCAGTGTGCATCTTCAGACCCATTAGGCCTGCTTGCACGAGAACCCATTCACCACCTGGCTCTCATGAGCTTCCACTCTAACTGGGCGTCTCCCATCCTCTGGTGTCACTGTCAGCCTTTGTGTCCAAAGCCTGAATCCAAAGCCTGTGTGTCCCCTCAAATTCACCTGTTGAAGCCCTAACTCTCGATGCAATGGTATTTACAGACAGGGCTTTGGGAAATAATTAGGGTTAGAAGAGGTCATGGGAGTGGGGCCCTCATGATGGGATCAGTGCCCTTAAGGAGACAGCAGCCCTGGCTGGTGTGGCTCAGTGGATGGAGCGCCAGCCTGCAAAGCAAAGGGTTGTACCGGCGATTCCCAGTCAGGACACATGCCTGGGTTGCAGGCCAGGTCCCCCGTGGAGGGTACACGAGAGGCAACCACACACTGATGTTTCTCTCCCTCTCTTTCTCCCACCTTTCCCCTATTTCTAAAAATAAAATAAATGAAAAAAATTTTAAAAAGAGACACAACAGAGCTTGCAAGAAGGTGGCCATCTGTAAACCAGGAAGACTCTCTCCAGGAACTGAGTCAGCAACTTGACTTTGGACTAACTTGCCTCCCAAACTGTGAGAAGTAAATTCCTATCATTGAAGCCACCCAGTCTGAGGTATTTTGTTATGGAAGCCTGAACAGACTAAGAGAGCCACCAACACCTTGTGGGGAAATAATTATCCTATATACTTTGGACAGCCCAGGAGAATTCTTCCTTATGGAGACTTGGCCTCCTTTTCAGTCGGTAGGCTCAGAGCCTGTGAAGTGGCCTGGATCTGGGAAGTTTATGAAGAAATGCTACTTTCCACTGGGACAGCTGACATCAGGCTTCTGCTCCCTAGTTCTTGATTTGGGGGTTGAGGTTGCTGTACACATAACACCCAGTCCTCTGCCCAGTTATTGAATCCCTAGGAATACGGTCTATTAGCCATCACTACTGATGCCATGGGTCGATGCAGTCTGGTTGCCACTTCGGTTTATAATTATATCCACCCTCCCTCTGTTGCTTCAGCGTCGCCACCCAGCCCCTGCTATCCTGGAGTCCTGCCAGGTGCACTGACACTAAGCATCGTTTACCTGTGCGTTTTGTGTTGGCTCAGAGGAGGGAGTGTCCTCTGGATTTGCCTTGGGAATATAAACTGGTGATGGGTTCTCTGGTCCAGGATGATACATACAATCTATCATTCTCGCTCCTCTGTGCGTTCTGACTCCTTTGATATTCTGTCGAGAGAGTTCTGGCCACCTCATTTCTCTAGACCCTAACCGTATCCAAGTTTCTCGAAGAGTCATCTCAGAAGCATATGAAGATGGTTTTATGTGTCCTTGCTTGAATGTTAAACCTAGAACAATGAGGGTTCCAGGTTAATAAATTCCCACACACTACCCCTGTGCCAACTAGAACGTAAGTCCTGTCATTTTTTCAATGCATATGCTGTTTCCTCATGGTTCAGGAACCGTGTTTCAAGCCACTTTGGCTGTGCTGAGAACTAAGTGTAGGTGTGAGTCTGGAGGCAATGAGGGGAGAAAGGGGAAGATCTTGAGCAGGATAGATAAGCAGTGTCTTCGGAGCCACTGGCCCCAGGAGTCTCAGCAGAAATTCCTGGCCAGGAGAAGCTGCTTTCCTATAGCGAGGGGGAGAGACTTAAGGCTGCCAGCCTGGAAGGTCAGGGGGGTTCTCACAACCTACCCAGATGTGTCTATTCCATGTTTCAGGTTCCGTGCATTTCCAATCAGGGCCAGGCCTTTGTCATAAGAGACCCGTCAGAGCTATGCACACAGCCTTTTCTGGCGGCTCTCCTCTGTTCGAATGAAATCAGTGAGGTCCTGGGCTTGATTTCTAGCACAATCTGCCCTGTGGCTGCAGGAGACGGGGCATGGAGGCCTCCTGTCTCACACACACAGTGTGCCTGCAGTTTATAGTTGGCTGACGTGGGTGCATCATTTCTTTTGTAAGGCTTCTAAAGCACTTAACAGAAGCTAGTTGGCTCCACGACCCAACAGTCACCGTTGTCCCCATGGGCCTTACGGTCACCCTGTCCGAGGAGTCACAAGGGGGCTTTCTCATCCTTGGCATTATTGGCGTGTTACTCCAGATGATTCTTTGCCATGGGAGTTGCCCTGTGCATTTGAGCTGTACCTCTAGCCTCTATCTACCAGACACCAGTAGCACCCTCCCCTAGTGGAGATAAAAATGCCTCCAGTCACTGCTACTGTCCCCGGGGAGACACAATCTCCCCCGGTTAAAACACACTGACTCGGAAGCAATGTTTTGTTCCTGCTTGAGTCACATTCCAACCTACCATGGGGAAGCGTTTTGATAGCTGCACGCCGGAGATTGTTACTATCCTATTTACCAACAGCAGTGGGGGCCTTATCTCTATTAGGAAAGTCATGTTCCCATGACTTTTGTAGAATCCCTTCCTTGTGTCCTCAACCCAAGTGGCTCAACT